TTTTGTTGCCCACTTTATCGTTTTTCTTTTGCATGGAATTGCGGCTGGCTAACTTTTTAGGAAAGGGACAAATTTAATTTTCAAAGAGTAGTATGTAAACAGCGAAATTGGCAGTGGATTTTTCCCCAAAGTGTTACCTTTTTTGTGAGTGTAACTCTGTCAGGATTGGTCAGAATATCCAAAACGAGGTATCGCCGGAAAGATCTATCTTTGCTGACGTTGTTGCTTACCAATTTATTAACTTAAAATGAAAGCTAAGTGGGTCCAGGGAGGAATGTATACATCGTTCCATATGGCTCGCATACGACCAGAACTGTCCGAAAATTGTTAAGTAACAAATCGAGGAACACTAATTTATGCGATTTTAAACAATATGTTTTTATTCTTCATTCACAAGAGTTAAATTTTAAATCTTCTTTCTTCGTACTGCTGATGATAAACAAGTCGCTGGTTTGCCGATTACCAATCCCAATCACTGTACGAGTTTGCATCCTTCCCAAATGTGTAAGAGGCTGTTGGCATTTGATTACCAGGATCCATTACGAGCTAGCCGCAAGGTCGATTTTCGTCCACGCACCAGGGATCCTTAATTTCCATGGAGATACTCACAAACTGGACTCAAGTAACTACAAGGCGTTAGTCTTGACACATTTCCTAGCGCACCTCAGGTATGCACATTAATCGATTTCTGTCAGTTCATCTGTCAATAAACTCATTTTAGGACAGGATACAAATTTGCGTCAAATATTAGAGCTTGTCTTCTGCGCGCCGAATTTATACCATCGGAGCGAGATATTTTAACTCAGCTCAAGAGAGAATGAGCTAAGAGAGCGAATCCCTGTGCCCCATGATAATTTTTTTAAATCTATTTAAAGTTCGCGCGCGTGCTGAGAAGGTTATTTTCAACGGTCTGTTGTTTCCGTGACCCGCGTGGTCTACTTTCACGTGAACGTGACATGTTTCGCCGCCAAACATTTGAAGTTTGACAGCCATTACAGTAATTAGCGCCACGAGCCGATACTAATCGGCTCCTATTGTTGACATGTTTTTGATCAGCGCGTTCCGCTCATAATTAAGGAATGAATTTCATTTACAAAGGGATTGCACTATTGGAGTCAAAATTTCACCTTGAGATTAAAGATTGAGATTTTCTAACGGCTGGTAGCCTCATTTAAAGTAACGAATATTGAATTCTGACACACTGTGAAAGCCAAAGGCAAAGGTTATCACGCGCGAAACACGAAACCTTTAATAAGTGGCTGGCTTTAATTGTTTATGCAAATGTACAAGATATTTTTTCTCTTTTTCCAGGAATATTTTTCTTTCAGAAACAGTACATTTGCTTTCAAGAATTATTTTTGAGAGTTTCAAACTGCATTACTTCTTCTTAACATCTAATATTTGCGATGAATATTTCGCTGTGCGAACACAAATCTGGTCAGATGCTTCAAGCTGTTAAACAGTCGCTAACCTGGATGCCAGAGACTTTTGATGCTCGGTTTCCGGTTTCGGTCAATTCTTTATAGTGAGCAGTGTGCCCACATTAACACCGCGGCAAAACGTCTACGCATGCGCCAGGTTGAGCATTTCCGGTCACTTTTTCAGTCACACTTTCCAGTCAGATCAAAGTCTACCGCGCGCGCTCGGCTTCATTCTGTGTGCCGCTTGTTGTTCAGTTGTTCTCCTTCATGCTCCTCGTGCTTTTGACTATTTTGTAGTTATTGAAATTGCTTTTATTGATAACCAGGCACAGATCACTGAAACAATTAGTCGATTAGATTCAGAAAAGGTAAGTTGATAATAACTTGTGTAATTTTGGCTAATTTGAGCGTCAGGTAAACAGATTTTCTTTCACGAAAACAAAGTTCTTGACTGCCATTTTTCACTTAACCTGGCCGAAACTAAGACATAAAAAGTTCTCATTGCAAGCTTGTGTATTGTAGTTTTAGTCTTCGGTTCTTCAATTTCTCAGTCTTAATGTCTTAAAACCGCTCCGAATTTTGTTTGGAAAACGACAACACACAATTGCTTTGGAGTTTTATTTACCGGGGGGTTTTACCGTGTTTTGGAATGAAGCTCTTCTGAGTTGATTGCCATGAAACATAAGCTTAATTATACTGTTGAGGTTGGCAGCAAGTTGACAACTCTATTTATTTATTTTTTTCATTCTCAGAATCAGAGAGCGAAAGCTGGTTCGATGGCTTTTAGAAGTCGAAATTTTCACAGCTGAAAGGAGATGTAGCGAAGCCGCATAGTCTAAAATTATTGAAGTCTTCAACCAAAGAACAACCATGTAAAAGAATTAAATAGGCATTTTCTTGACTGAAAGTACGTTTTAAGGCATGTTTAGTTTCCTGGCACCGAAAGCTGCGGGTATTCGTGACTGCTGTCACATGGCGAGCCGCAAGCCTTAGCGACCGAAATATGGGGGAAAATTTTTCCCCCATCTGACCAGAAGGCCATTGTTTAAATTCAGCCAAGCATAGATCGTTGACAGCTTGAAACCATACTTGAGCAGAAATGCGAATCTCCTTTCGTGGCCTCCTGTGAAGCTTTATCCGACATATCTTTCAACCGCTCATTTTAGCAGACACTACTAAAAAGCTGATGAGACGAACACAACTAAAAAAAAGAACCTGACAGAATGAAAATCGCTCCAAAACAGTGCACCAGTTGGAAAACTTGTGGCGATGTAGAGGAGTTTTGCAACAAACAGGGGGATACCTCAGAATCAAAATGCATTTATTTACCGAAGATGAACGAAGTGCAGCGATTTAAATTTAATATAATTTACATTAACTATAAATTCAAAAAGTTTTTACAGTAGCTTTTTCTGGGGAACAGAATTTAAATACATTGGGAGACTTCACCGGCCTTTTCTCAAAAAAGGGAATAGTCCCGCTTTTAATTCTGCTTCCCCGAAATTTATATTTCTAAATCTAAGTAGCTTTCTTTTTCTTTTAAAAAATTTTTACGGGGGAATCGAAATGAATTTTGGTTGATTGGTTGCGTCCATCGCGGTTCCCCCCTATTTGTTTTTTGATAAAATACCATTGCGCGAACGGTCTTTATTATTTTTCACGAGTCATAACCAACAAAGTTCCCTTGAACTAAGCGAAGGCGACACACCCGATCGCTTGCTTTTTCAGGCGACTCACCCAGAAGAGCACGTGCAGACGGAACTTTGGTCGTTGTTTAGCTTTGTTTTGAATCACCCAAAGAATAAGTTCAATTACGAATTCTAAGCGTCTAGTTGACTCACTACAATCTTAGCAAGTCCCAAACAAAAGAAAATATATTTGGCAAACCGTTTTCCAAGACTATTTTGCCTTATAAACTTTCCTAAGGTCTCGGATTTTTTTTTTACAGAAAGATTCATTTAGTAAACACGTTTTACAAAGTCTTCTTGCACTAAGCGAAGGCGACTCACCCGATCGCTCGCTTTTAATCAGGCGACACACCCAACATAAAAGCACGTACAGAATACCCTGAACAATGTTCATCAATTTGTTTTCGGTGAATTATATCAAAGCTCTCTGCTCGTGAAAAATAATAGAGACCGTTTGAGCAGTCGTATTTTATTAAAAAAAACAAATAGGGGTGAACCGCGATGGACACAACCAATCAACCAAAACTCATTTCGATTCCTCCGTAAAAATTTTTAAAAGAAAAAGAAAGCTACTTAGATTTAGGGACTTACAAATAACGAGCAAACTTAACACTCAACCCCCTGTCTGTGAAGTACCTTAGGTAGGTAGCTACGTGTGTATGTGTGTTATAAAACACGGACGTCTATAATTTTCAACACGTTCGTTTGTTTATCAAGAAAATGTCGCACGAAATTAATAGAGCTTTTCGACTTCTTTCTTAGGCTACTCTTTGTAACACAAAATTGCCTCCAGTGGAAGTTGTGCTGTTCCTGTTTCTTCCTAAACACGAGCTTTACGATCGGCAGCGCCACATTAAATTTGGCGGGCATTTAGGAGGTTTGGCGCGGTATTGTTCGAAGCAGAAATAAATAAATTAAAGGAAAAAAATCGAACACTGTGCTTACCTTCAAGGAGTCTTACGATTAATCAAGTCATTATACAAACCAGAATTAATGTGTCGCAGGATAAACCTACTGATCTAAGGCTGATATGGCCTCGCATTTGAACCAATTTGAAGAAGGAAGGCTGGCCATCTCCGGTTTTCAGAAGACAAGCTTGAATTCTCCTAACCTGTCCGATCTGTTTAAATGTTCTTCCAAATACCAATCGCTTCTAAGGGAAACGATTTTGATCGCGAATCAACACAGAAATTCTCGACCAGGAAACGGCAAAAAGTAACCCACGTATACTCCATACAATGATGGCTTGATCGGGCTGATCCGATCCGGAGAATAGTTGAAAAGACCGCGCTCGACTTTATTTACATGTATTTACTCCGCCTAGTATTGTTTTAACCATATTAACAGACAGTTGCGAAATGTAGAATTGTTTCATCGCCTCTGTGAAGATCACTACCGATGACAGCTAATCTGACCCCTGCTAACATGCACGAGATCGGAGGTAAAACTCTAAAAGGAAATTGAGCATAGCAACGGTCACTCAAGATAATTAGTAAAGGGACTTTACGCGGCTCCTCATGTTGAAAGTCGAGGCTGTCATTAAATCCCGCCTATCTTTTGTTTTGAGTTCTTGTTTTCTCTGATAATAAAATAATTATTGAACAGACTAAACTTTTATTTCTTGGTTCTGGTGTTACTGATAATAATGTCGTCTTTATTTTGGTTTCTTTCATAAGTATTGCTATAGATTCTTTTCTTAGTTGTCGTCTTCTCTCAGATTATATTAACCTATGCCAAACCAGTAGCGTGCAACAAAGCCAGTAAAAACAAATTCGCGCGTCTTGTCGAGCGCTAGCGACCTACGAACTTCAAACATCATTTTCAGCGTTGGTGCAACCAGATAACCATGTGGTGCAAAAGTTTGACACTGGAAAAATATATCAGCTATCGAATGAAGTGATTTTTTTCGCCCCCTTTTTTGTCTGTTTCTCCCTTTTTGCTTTTAAGCTTGGCGCGACGGCAAAGTTATGCTTGCGCAATTGATTTATATACTAGACCGGAAATAAAAAGCTGACCGGATATCAAATTTTGTGCTCATGCGCAGTGCGTTTTGCCGCGGTGTTGCCCACATTTGTATAGCGCCCTCTCAAAATTTAAATGTTTGGCGGCCAAACAGTCGTGTTTGAACCCACCTTGAGCCTATCTTCTCGTTACGTGTCCACGGTTGGGTCCAAACGACGGTATCACGGCTCGCCGATGTGCGTGGATGTCGCCGGAAGAGACAGTTGTCGTTTTGATACAATAGGTTGTTGGTTGTTTATATACTGATGTAGCGAAGACCCCAATGAGCAGTTTTGGTCGAGTTGGAACCGCTTTCTCTGGCGAACTCCCAGAAGCCAGGACCGTTTTTGCTCTTCAGCAGCTACTCTGGCCAGATTATTCCCCGTAGAAATCTTTTGATTCGTCGTCGAAAGTAATGCCAAGTTTGCACGCCCTATCGCTTGGTGTGCGTGATCGGTGGTGAAATGATTTACCAACCAAGTTTAAAATTACATAACGCCACTCTAACCGACCAATAAGGTGGCGTCCTTAAAATAACCACGCAGTATGACACAGAACCAAGAATAGATTGAAAATAATTTTCATGGAAAGAGGGTCATGTATGGGGGATTCGCTCTCTTAGATCATTCTCTCTTGCTCAGCTATGGTTCTCGTCAAAATCGCTTAATGAAAATACTTGAATTCATGGTTGGTGTTAAAAAAGGGTCTTGTTGCAAGTCTTGGAAAAAAAGAAATATTTTTTTCGTTTCTTAAGCGAAAGGCAAAATCTAGCGCTTTATGAAGGTCGAATTCGAACCCCCCAAAGTAATAATTATTCGGTACGTTACCTGGTAAGTTACACATTGTCGCCGAAATGGTTTCAAAAGTTCAACGTGAAGAGTTCTGGGATTTTTGAAGACGACACGATCATTTCCGAAGATTCCCGAAGAAGTCTGAAGTCTTCCGAAGACGTCCGAAGTCTGCCGAAGGCGAAGTTATCGAAGTTATCCCAGTCCCAGTCTTAGGACGCGTATAAACGCGAGCTCGCTCCCAGTGCTTTTCACTTCAAAAATCAGAGATCGCGAGGAAGGTATTGTCATTTATTCATTTTACACAAGGCTTTCGTTCCTTACATTGGTCTGAGTTAACATGTTTTTGGAAATTGTGTCAAGCACGACGGCGACAACTCACATTTTTCAATCAAGCGTGAGAAATTGGCCCGCAAGCGTGAGCGGGCGTGAGATCGAAGTTTTCAACCCGCAGGCGTGAGAGTTGGCAGGTATACAGTCTTTGAATGAGTAAATGTGAATTTTGCCGCTTGTTTCATACTGAGAGGTCATGACACGCATATTGATTTTCTGCAGTTATTGTTTCTGGTCGGCATGATTTGCCCCCTAAAGCAAGAGCACTTTCTTCGACCTCTTTTGAAACGTCAATCTGTTCCTTTGCGGCTAAATAAGAGTTTTAGGTTGTTTATTCTTCCCCAAAGTGCCTCCTGGATCTGAATAACTAAAGGCGATATTCTTTTGTCCGTGAATGTGATGGTTTCCTTCAATTTTAATTTGTCACGCTGGGCCCATCTCGTTTAGTATTTTCTGCACGATGTTTAATTTCCACCGAAAGTGATTTACAGATCCAAATTTCCAGGAATGGATTATAGGAACGCATTTTGTGAAGAGAGATTTTTTAAGTAAAAAGAACTCGGATCCTTAAATCGATCGTGTTTTAGCTAGCCAATCGCAGTTTTCATATTCTGTGTTAGTTTGGATGATTCAGTAGATTATTCTCTCCGCTCCCTCTTGGCTTACAGGCGGCACGCCCAAGTTTAAGAGGTGAAGAGAGATTTATTTAAATTGAAACACTCTTAGCTTGAGTCGATCATGTTTTACTAGCTAGCCAATTACAGTTTTTGTACGCTGTGTTAGTTTGGATAATTCAGTAAATTTTTCTCTCCTCTCCCTCTAGCCCAAGTTTAAGAGGTGAAGAGAGATTTTTTTCAAACGGTAAAAAACTCGTAGCCTGAAAAGACCAAGTTTTACTAGCTAGCCAATTGCAGTTTTTATACACTGTGTTAGTTTGGTAATTCAGTAGATTATTCTCTCCTCTCCCTCTTAGCTTACAGGCGGCGCGCCCAAGTTTAAGAGGTGAAGAGAGATTTTTTTCAAGGGTAAAAAACTCGTAGCTTGAATCGATCATGGTTTACTATCTAGCCAATTGCAGTTTTCATGCGCTATGTTAGTTTGGATAATTCAGTAAATTTTTCTCTCCTCTCCCTCTTGGCTTACAGACGGCACGCCCAAGTTTAAGAGGTGAAGAGAGATTTTTTAAGGTAAAAAACTCGTAGATTGAATTGTCATGTTTTAGCTAGCTAGCCAGTTGCAGTTTTCATGCGTTGTTAGTTTGGATAATTCAGTAAATTTTTCTCTCCTCTCCACTTAGCTAACAGGCGGTGCGCCCAAGTTTAAGAGGTTAAGAGAGATTTTTTTTCAAGGGTAAAAAACTCGTAGCCTGAATAGACCATGTTTTACTAGCTAGCCAATTGCAGTTTTCTTACGCTGTGTTAGTTTTGTTACTCTCTCCTCTCCCTTGCAGTTAACTTAGCTTCCAGGCGGCACGCCCAAGTTTAAGAGGTGAAGAGAGATTTATTGCTTCGGCGGAGCGCGAAGTAAAGGATTCGCGACGCTCAGGAATGTATGAAAGTTAGCATTTTTTGACAAGATTGGGCATGTAAAGTCTGTAGGTTTTCGGTTTTATTCGGCTTTTTGACGAAGTGAGCGCCGAATTAGTTCGAGATATCTCGAGATCACTTCGATTTCTTTAATTTATTCTTTAACTTTTTCGAGGAAGAAAGAATTAGTATTTTGGCTTCCCCGGGGTTTGAACCGACTCACCTGCGTGATCCCTCAAGTCAGAGGAGACTCTAAGTTGAGGGATTAGCCGATTGCGCTACTGCGACCCAAGGTAGTTCGGCACATGAAAAATAGTTATGAAATTATGCACTAGTTTCGGGACAAGATTGGGCGTGCAAGTTCGCGACTTTTCGGCTTCTTTCGGCTATTTCACGAAATGAAACCGGACTACTTTGTGATATCTTGAGATCACTTCGAGTTTAGTCTTTAATTTACTCGAGGAAGAAATAGAGAATATTACGTGGCCGCGCAGAGACATTAAATTTCTCTTCGAGTGTTGAAAATCATTTCATGAGTGAGCCCTCCTTTCGAACTGCTTTATGATGAAACTAAAGTTACAAAATGCTGCACAAAGACATTTTGCCTTTGTTGAGTGTTACGTAGTAAAATTGCTTTCATGCGTTGCGTGACTTTCTCGAACGTTCTACTTTTTTGCATTATTCATGAATAATTAATTAGGGCATGTTTACATTTCAGCATGAGTCAGCAGATTTGCATCAGTTACTGAAATCATAAAATATGTCGAAAAGCTACTACTATTCGCCCGCTTAGTATTTTCTAGAACCTTATGTCAAACGGTATACAAGTTCCAAGCGAGGTCTTTTGACGAACTAAGTTTTTTTTCCCACGAGCTGGACTGCTGTGTTTAGTCAAGTGTGACGAAGGTCGATTTTCAAGTTCTGTGTTTACAAGTTCGCGGAAGCCGTAAGATATCTGAAGTTCAAGTGAGAGTTTGTTATTATTGGTAGAGGCTGTTTAGTTGTACTTAACTTCAAGTCAAGTTTGTGTTGGCGGATGCTGTGTTTTAAAGCTCTGAAAAGGCTATGTTCCTTTGGAATTAAACTTCCTTGTGTTAATCCGACATTCCTGCGTGCTGATAGTCAGTGAATAATTATCCTCAAAACATTCGAACTCGTAACAGCCAATTCCATGCTCAACGTAATTGACTCCTTACCCATACCTTACATATCTTTAATCAGTACATGAGATTGAAGCCTGATGTGACTAAGAAAAATAGAGATTTTTTTTTTCACTGTTTGTTTTGTTAGACTTGTTATTCACCGCCAGTAACCTTATATTTGACTTAGGTCTAAACGTTTAGGCCCAAGTCAAATTTAGAAGGATTTGTATGGAGTCATCAGAGCATAACTGGGCTAATATCTTACAGACAATTTGTCCCGAAATGCTAGTTTTTGGCAAGTAGGCCTCTTGGATGTTGTTCTTTTCAGAATATCCTGACAAATCCCATAATTTCACAAATTAACACCTTACTGTTGCCATATTTCATTTCTTACTATTCCTCCTCATTTACAATTAATCCGTTCCACAACCACGACGCCGAAGTGTACGCTCCGTAGCGTCTTGTTTAAATTGAAACACTCGTAGCTTGAGTCCATCATGATTTACTTGCTAGCCAATTGCAGTTTTTATACGCTGTGTTAGTTTGGATAATTCAGTAAATTTTTCTCTTCTCTCCCTCTTAGCTTACAGGCGGCGCGCCCAAGTTTAAGAGGTGAAGAGAGATTTTTTTCAAGGGTAAAAAACTCGTAGCCTGAATAGGCCATGTTTTACTAGCTAGCCAATTGCAGTTTTCTTACGCTGTGTTAGTTTTGTTACTCTCTACTCTCCCTCTTGGCTTCCAGGCGGCACGCCCAAGTTTAAGAGGTGAAGAGAGATTTATTTAAATTGAAACACTCTTAGCTTGAGTCGATCATGTTTTACTAGCTAGCCAATTGCAGTTTTTGTACGCTGTGTTAGTTTGAATTGAATAATTCAGTAAATTTTTCTCTTCTCTCCCTCTTAGCTTACAGGCGGCGCGCCCAAGTTTAAGAGGTGAAGAGAGATTTTTTTCAAGGGTATAAAACTCGTAGCCTGAATAGACCATGTTTTACTAGCTAGCCAATTGCAGTTTTCTTACGCTGTGTTAGTTTGGTAATTCAGTAGATTATTCTCTTCTCTCCTTCTTAGCTTACAGGCGGCGCGCCCAAGTTTAAGAGGTGAAGAGAGATTTTTTCAAGGGTAAAAAACTCGTAGCCTGAATAGACCATGTTTTACTAGCTAGCCAATTGCAGTTTTCATACGCTGTGTTAGTTTGGATTATTCAGTAGATTATTCTCTCCTCTCCCTTTAGCTCTTATGCGATGCGCCCAATCTTACGACAAGTGGTGTTGGTTTCAAGAGTGAAATTTAGTAATTGTGATTTTTTTCTGATTTACGGCTCTCAGTCTGGATAATATTCAGCGTGATGCCTGTGTTTGATGTACACCGGAAACCGGAAAAAAGCTAGTTTTGTCCGCGGGCGGCAATACGTTAATTTCGACAGTTTAAGGTAAAATATTAAGATAATGTCTAAATCTTTTGTGAACTGTGGTAGTTTTTTTTTGCGTAAATATCTCTCTCTTCGATCAAATGTGACAATTAGGCCAGATTTATACTAGCGATGTAAAAATTTCCTCCGTCTATGTTGAAACAGAACAAATCTCCCTGAGAAATTATTGAGTTGTTGTTTTCATTGTTTATTCATCAAGTTCTCAGTTGTAATTATTTTTCGGTAGGATTGTTTTTATTTATTGTTTATTCAATGGGTCGGCTAAAATTAAAGACGAAGAGTGAAGCCCCAATGCAGAATTTTTGAAGTCTATTTGATATTATGCTTTCGACAGTGCACGTGAGTAGCAACTACGTTGGGTGTCCACTTAAGATAAACTGGATTAAGTGTCGAAGATGAAAGATTGCTCAATAAAACGAACATTGTTGACAGCTTTAAGATAGGCTCCGGGTTTCTTGATGTAATATAACCCTTGGTTCAAAACAATAGACTTGGCGCCTCGCCCTTCAGAAATATGCGAAGATCGTGACGTTGAACTTTGCTATCCCCCGAAAATCGAGCCTGCGGCTTGTAATGTTCATTGGTTCAGCCAAAGAGAAGGCAGCTGGCAAGGCACGCATCTCAGCAGCGCAAGACAGTCGGGCTGAAAACAAAGAAAGCAACACGGTTTCAACTCTTTTTCAACATTTGTTGAACCAAATTCTGAACGAATGCTGCCGAGGCAGTAGCCTGCGTAGCTAACGGTATGGTGTAGTAGTCGAGTGAGATTTGACCCGCCTCGTCCCTACTCCCTTTTTTTGGAACGCGGCTCCGCCGCCAAAACTTTAATCTCGCACCCACACAATACCGCCAGCTAGGCAGGCTACCGAGGCAGTTTGGACGGGTCGCCATAAACGTGTTGGAGTGTAATGCATCTTAAAATAAAAGCGTTTTGAAATTTGCATCAACTCATTAAGAACTTTAATTTGGAAAAGGTATCAAAAATCGTTTAAACAGCCTTTTATTCCCGGCTCTGAAAGGACTCCGAAAATGAAAGCATTTCTAAATTTTGAGAATTTCGAAAATATGTCACGGTCCAGTTTTGACATCATCAGTGAAAGGTGACCAGAATTTCAAAATTATTTTACATGCTGCCGCAAATGGTTGAACTGAAGAATAAGGCATAACACGGTGGAGCTTTTCTTATTCAACGAAATGTATATGAACTGGCCAGGTATTGTGCATTTTAGCTTAAACCAATTTCTGTGCACGTTCTTGCTACAATTTTGCAGAAGTTTTTTTCCCACGAGCTGGACTGCTGTGTTTAGTCAAGTGTGACGAAGGTCGATTTTCAAGTTCTGTGTTTACAAGTTCGCGGAAGCCGTAAGATATCTGAAGTTCAAGTGAGAGTTTGTTATTATTGGTAGAGGCTGTTTAGTTGTACTTAACTTCAAGTCAAGTTTGTGTTGGCGGATGCTGTGTTTTAAAGCTCTGAAAAGGCTATGTTCCTTTGGAATTAAACTTCCTTGTGTTAATCCGACATTCCTGCGTGCTGATAGTCAGTGAATAATTATCCTCAAAACATTCGAACTCGTAACAGCCAATTCCATGCTCAACGTAATTGACTCCTTACCCATACCTTACATATCTTTAATCAGTACATGAGATTGAAGCCTGATGTGACTAAGAAAAATAGAGATTTTTTTTTTCACTGTTTGTTTTGTTAGACTTGTTATTCACCGCCAGTAACCTTATATTTGACTTAGGTCTAAACGTTTAGGCCCAAGTCAAATTTAGAAGGATTTGTATGGAGTCATCAGAGCATAACTGGGCTAATATCTTACAGACAATTTGTCCCGAAATGCTAGTTTTTGGCAAGTAGGCCTCTTGGATGTTGTTCTTTTCAGAATATCCTGACAAATCCCATAATTTCACAAATTAACACCTTACTGTTGCCATATTTCATTTCTTACTATTCCTCCTCATTTACAATTAATCCGTTCCACAACCACGACGCCGAAGTGTACGCTCCGTAGCGTCTTGTTTAAATTGAAACACTCGTAGCTTGAGTCCATCATGATTTACTTGCTAGCCAATTGCAGTTTTTATACGCTGTGTTAGTTTGGATAATTCAGTAAATTTTTCTCTTCTCTCCCTCTTAGCTTACAGGCGGCGCGCCCAAGTTTAAGAGGTGAAGAGAGATTTTTTTCAAGGGTAAAAAACTCGTAGCCTGAATAGGCCATGTTTTACTAGCTAGCCAATTGCAGTTTTCTTACGCTGTGTTAGTTTTGTTACTCTCTACTCTCCCTCTTGGCTTCCAGGCGGCACGCCCAAGTTTAAGAGGTGAAGAGAGATTTATTTAAATTGAAACACTCTTAGCTTGAGTCGATCATGTTTTACTAGCTAGCCAATTGCAGTTTTTGTACGCTGTGTTAGTTTGAATTGAATAATTCAGTAAATTTTTCTCTTCTCTCCCTCTTAGCTTACAGGCGGCGCGCCCAAGTTTAAGAGGTGAAGAGAGATTTTTTTCAAGGGTATAAAACTCGTAGCCTGAATAGACCATGTTTTACTAGCTAGCCAATTGCAGTTTTCTTACGCTGTGTTAGTTTGGTAATTCAGTAGATTATTCTCTTCTCTCCTTCTTAGCTTACAGGCGGCGCGCCCAAGTTTAAGAGGTGAAGAGAGATTTTTTCAAGGGTAAAAAACTCGTAGCCTGAATAGACCATGTTTTACTAGCTAGCCAATTGCAGTTTTCATACGCTGTGTTAGTTTGGATTATTCAGTAGATTATTCTCTCCTCTCCCTTTAGCTCTTATGCGATGCGCCCAATCTTACGACAAGTGGTGTTGGTTTCAAGAGTGAGATTTAGTAATTGTGATTTTTTTTCTGATTTACGGCTCTCAGTCTGGATAATATTCAGCGTGATGCCTGTGTTTGATGTACACCGGAAACCGGAAAAAAGCTAGTTTTGTCCGCGGGCGGCAATACGTTAATTTCGACAGTTTAAGGTAAAATATTAAGATAATGTCTAACTCTTTTGTGAACTGTGGTAGTTTTTTTTTTGCGTAAATATCTCTCTTCGATCAAATGTGACAATTAGGCCAGATTTATAATAGCGATGTAAAAATTTCCTCCGTCTATGTTGAAACAGAACAAATCTCCCTGAGAAATTATTGAGTTGTTGTTTTCATTGTTTATTCATCAAGTTCTCAGTTGTAATTATTTTTCGGTAGGATTGTTTTTATTTATTGTTTATTCAATGGGTCGGCTAAAATTAAAGACGAAGAGTGAAGCCCCAATGCAGAATTTTTGAAGTCTATTTGATATTATGCTTTCGACAGTGCACGTGAGTAGCAACTACGTTGGGTGTCCACTTAAGATAAACTGGATTAAGTGTCGAAGATGAAAGATTGCTCAATAAAACGAACATTGTTGACAGCTTTAAGATAGGCTCCGGGTTTCTTGATGTAATATAACCCTTGGTTCAAAACAATAGACTTGGCGCCTCGCCCTTCAGAAATATGCGAAGATCGTGACGTTGAACTTTGCTATCCCCCGAAAATCGAGCCTGCGGCTTGTAATGTTCATTGGTTCAGCCAAAGAGAAGGCAGCTGGCAAGGCACGCATCTCAGCAGCGCAAGACAGTCGGGCTGAAAACAAAGAAAGCAACACGGTTTCAACTTTTTTTCAACATTTGTTGAACAAAATTCTGAACGAATGCTGCCGAGGCAGTAGCCTGCGTAGCTGGCGGTATGGTGTAGTAGTCGAGTGAGATTTGACCCGCCTCGTCCCTACTCCCTTTTTTTGGAACGCGGCTCCGCCGCCAAAACTTTAATCTCGCACCCACACAATACCGCCAGCTAGGCAGGCTACCGAGGCAGTTTGGACGGGTCGCCATAAACGTGTTGGAGTGTAATGCATCTTAAAATAAAAGCGTTTTGAAATTTGCATCAACTCATTAAGAACTTTAATTTGGAAAAGGTATCAAAAATCGTTTAAACAGCCTTTTATTCCCGGCTCTGAAAGGACTCCGAAAATGAAAGCATTTCTAAATTTTGAGAATTTCGAAAATATGTCACGGTCCAGTTTTGACATCATCAGTGAAAGGTGACCAGAATTTCAAAATTATTTTACATGCTGCCGCAAACGGTTGAACTGAAGAATAAGGCATAACACGGTGGAGCTTTTCTTATTCAACGAAATGTATATGAACTGGCCAGGTATTGTGCATTTTAGCTTAAACCAATTTCTGTGCACGTTCTTGCTACAATTTTGCAGAAGGCGCGCCGGTTTCGACTGAGAACCAGAAGAAACGTGCATTTTGCTTAGCGAAGCATCTTTTAAAAAATTGAATGAAGCGGCTGCTCAAAACATTGTTATCTAGGTTAATACTAATATCGGTGTTCAATTTTCCTTTTAAAACTCAAACTTTGAACTTCGAGTTACCAGGAGTTTTCTAATGCTTTAACTAAAGAAATTGGCTTAAGAACGAGGCTGTCAGGATGCAAACGTTTGTTACTTTTAAAACTCATTCTTCCTATTTTGAAGTTAATTTAATGAAAATTTTACGTCAAGTTGTTTTCTTGTACCTTTGGCGCTCTGATGTTGAACTTTACGCTTTTCTGGGAAGGCACCTCCGACATTAGTTTGCGTGATCGCTTCCATCTGAAAGTCAAATTACGTGCTTTCGATTGAATTAAAAACATACCTGTCGTGAGCTAATAATGCAGTAACATTTAGCTTCTTTAAGCCTAGAAATAAAGGCAAAGAAAATATAAAAAATCCCTCTCTTACCGCCTTTTTAAAGATGTTCCTTTCCAAATAGAGAACGGTTTTTGAGCTTCAAGTGATTCGCCTCGAAGTTTCCCCGTCAGAATAACACACTCACTCAAAGAGAGCTTCCTTGTAACGTCGCTTTCATCTAAGGGTTGACATATGACAGAAAAACGTGTTCGGATTGGTTGAAAACATGAGATATTTTTTCCCCAAGGATCTGATTGGTTCATGGTTTGAAAAGCTCTTAACAGGCGTTAGCACGCACAATCTAGTATCATTTTCTATTTCTCATCTATTTTTTTTTTTAATAATTGCACAAAAACATCAGTTACCGTTTTTTGTAGCCTTTAAAAACTCTGTTTGTAGAACTTCAGTTTATGAAAACGCGGTTACTTAATAAAATATAAAGCAACTGAACTCACTTTCCTCTGCTTCAATACGTGACAGCCTCAACGGGTTAACATCACAAGTTTATTTTCTTTGAAATATCGGAACTTCTTCGTCCCAGACATGTGATCTTGACAAATATGCATGAATCACCAGTTGCAGCGGATACAACCCTACAACACGTGGTCATTTCAGAGAATCAAGTCGGAATGATACGTTTTTAGCATGAAGTGTTTGTTTACCCACCTTGACCCCACGTTACGCTCTTAATTAAGGAAGTTTTTCCTTGTTTTTTGTGGACTACACATACCGAGTGTGTCATATTTAGCAGCAGAAAGAGGACGAATTTTGAGTCTAAAAGAGTTTTGTTAAAAACTAGATTATTGCCATTAATAGCTAACCAATATCCACCAACACAAAATTATATAAGCAATTCTTATCACTGAGCTGTTTCTCAGAAAATAACCTTGACACATAATTCTTCATTTATCACATTTCTTCGAAGAATCCTAGAACTTTTGACGCAGAATTATTTTTGGAAGCTGGCTTTTGATAGGCTCAGTGAACAAATGGAGTGTCGTTTTCGGTCAGCGCCGTAATAAAGCTGATCCGAACTTCAGTCTAAGAAACACGGCTGCTTCAATGCCGTTCATTTTCGCCATGTTTGAAGTCGTTGCCATCGTATTTACTTTAATAGCCATATTTGCTTAGGCTACAAGAAAACAAGGCAAATTATCCTGTGCTCCCTTCTCAATATTCCGATTGATGTTTTCTACAAGCGAGTAATAGCTGATAAAAGACGTCCAGGTATGTGGATACAAAATATATTTTGTCTTGAATACAGTAACAGCCAGTCGTAGTACAAAACGGTGCTTTACTCGTCTATGAGCTTTTTGATAGGGACCGAAAGCCGGAAATAGACCATCTAGTACGTTTACATACCTCCTTGAAAATTATTGCCCGGCATAACCATACAGAAAGGACTTCTGTTCACACGCAGGAACGGCTGTGACAGAGCGAAGCTGCGCCGCCGCCGGGCCGATCACAAAAAGTGGAGCGCTGGAAAAGCTATCCTGTAGTGTGTATAGCCTAAATATTGTTTGAGTGAGGCCTTTCAGTGCTGTAATTAAAAATGAAAATGATCCGAGTTTTGCCGATCAAAGGCGCGCATCATGAGGGATAGGAGGAGCTATACTTGTATTAAGATAGTCTCTAAAAAGAAAGGACTGCAAGCTCACTGCATTTCTCACGGAACTTGAGGGTTGGTTTGTACTTGCCTGTATAAAATGCTTGGCCGGTGCAGGCGTAGATTTGCAGGGACATATTCGTTCACAATAATCTTGCCTTCGATGTCTTTAAGATAGTCATTTGTCATGTAAGACTAAATATGTGGGTATGTTTTCACAGAGGAGTTTTCTCTATCTCTCTCGATGTAAGTTCTTGACAAATTTCTTGTCTACTAGTTTGGGTAAATTTGTTCAGAATCAAGCTAGACAACAGCTTATCATTGGTGGTGATTTAATTCATTCTCAAGACGTGTAATTTAACATGATTTACCACCAAGTGAAACCAAACCAAATACAGAACCTGATACTAGGTTTTATAGTAAAGTTATTTCGGTTTTT